AGGAGTTACTAACTTCTTTTATACTTTTACGATATACTAGTAAATTGTTATTCGAAATTTTTTTGCAGATCTAAATCCATACTAAATTGTTTGAGCCGGCTAATTAAAAATCATACTATTTATAGGATTAAATATCACCAATCATTTATAAAACCAAATGCAACTTATGATAAATGAACCAATTATGAAATATCGAGAATGCTTAAATTAATATAGCTTATTGGTTAGTTAATTTCTATTCTCTAATATCAAATACCATTGGTTAATTTCAGCATCACTCCGACATTAAATGACCAAATTTGTTACGTACTAATCGTACTAGTCCCTTGTTTTTATTCTATGTAATAGAATAAACTTTATACGTAAACGAGTTTTATATTACGTATCAAAGTTTTCACGGATTAATTTCCGAAACCGATCTCGTTATGGTTTTAAATTTTGAATCAGCAAAAACAATTCGGATCAAAAATTTGTGCTACAATTCATCTATTAAAGAACGCGAGAATGAGTCATAATTCTTGCCATAAATTTTTTTTCACAAATTGATCTGTTTCAATTTATAATGGCATATGGGGAATTCTGGATTAATCCAGTAAGGATTGCTGAAATTAAACAATAGAACTGATTGGATGGAAAAAATGTGTCCAAATCCAGAAATAGTTTTTAGTAATAAATTGCCGTTAGATTTAGGTAATAAATTGCCGTTAGATTTAGTAAATGTTTAGTGATATCCGATTGACATCAAAATCTGACTGAATATTTGCTACCGGATTTGATCAAAGTTTTCTGTATCCCTGGGCCTTGGGCTTGGCCCATTCAATATCCTGCTTATTTTTTTTTTTTTTCATTTTATCATAAAAAAAAAACAATTTAACCCGTCACTCAGTCTACTCTTTGCTACGTACATACGTACATACGTGCGTACGTACGTACATGCCCGTTTGTTTAGTAAGCTATTTGCTCCATATTTAGATTAGTCAACGTATTAAGAGCGGTTACGCGATCAAAATCAAATATGTTGTTTCAGTTAGTTTTGATTGTGTGACGTAAAAGAATTAGAAATAAATAAACAGTGTGCATGAAAGCATAAAAAGTAAGAATCTTGAACCAACGTGAAGTTTTAAAGAATTCTACTTGTCATGTGTAAAAAAAGTTGAATATATCTATATATTTAGTATAAGATGTATATATTTGTACTATATCAAGTATCAAAAAGATTTGATTTCTAAAATTTCTAAAACTGGTGCAGATATATCCCACGAATGGTACTATGCACAACTTTTACGGTAATCCTTTGATCTCTTAATACAATACGTATACATACAGGTGTCTGTGCATTTTATTACCGCCATTGGCATGCATTTTATCATTGAATTAGCTTTGGTTATTGTCCCTCTTGGCTAGCGTCTTGCCCTCTTGGCCGGCGTATTGTCCCTCTTGGCAGTCCGCGGAATACCCATACTACCATCCGGCTTACGAATCTATCTTTAATATATATTAAATTATATATATACATATATGTATATCGATATATATTATTAAATATATACGTATTAACGTTAAATGTATACGTATCAACTTTAATTAATGGTATATACATACGTAATAGCGATACAGCTTAAAAATGGTCAAAGTCAGTTACACAAATTCAGGTTATTATTGACACTATTATAGTTATTTTGATTGGTTGAAATTAATCTATTATACATTTTATTGGATGACATATTCAGTTTCAACTAGCGTTGCCAACAAAATTACGTAATCTTAACCGTCACAAGGAAATAACTACCGGCACATAGTAATTTTTTTTAATTCACGTACAACACATATAAGATATAGTATGTGATGATTAATCATACGCAATTTTGTTGGCAACGCTAGTTTCAACATTTTAAATGGGTTATTCGATTATTCTTTCGGAAGAATTATTTTAGTGAATTGGAATATTGGAATATTGGAATATTGGAAAAATATGGAAACCCAACAGGGTTCCGGTTTCCAGCCAACGGCAATGATTATGAAGGAAGCGATAAATGAATCCGACTTAGACAAGATTGTTAAGAATCAAACTGAAATGTATATATAGTTTTATTAATATTCCTCGAAAATTCTTTATGAATTTATTGATTAAATTATTTTCTATTTAATTTTAATTTAATTTAGTCATAAAATTTTAGAATCAACGGCATCTTCTTTAACCCAATTCAATGAATTCAGTTCAACTAAATATGATGAACTTGCAAAAAAATTTGAATTGCATTCTAAATGTATCAAAGAAATGAAAATTGACTTGGAATATATTTTTAAAAAGCTAAGGTAATCTTTTTATTAATAACTTTAATAGCATTAAAAATAATTTCTATTAAATCTATGATTCATATCGATATGTATATTTTAAGGTTATTAAGGACTAAAGTAGCGAATCAGCATCCTGACGCTTTTGAACAAGTGGAAAAAAGTTTTCCCAAGAATGATGAGGATGATTATTAAATAATAGTTATTATATATATAAAAATTTTATAATCAGAAATTAGTTAACATTAAACTTGTTATTATTAAAAAAAAAAAAAAAAAAAAGGTAAAAAAACTATTATTACTAATTAATAAATTAATTACATGCATTAATTAATAATATCTGAGTAGTTGCACTCGAGGTTTGTAATATCAGTGCCAGATACCTTACGTCCTCTAACAAATACAGCTTTAATGTTTCGATCGTCTCCAAGAAATATAAATTTTTCAAATATTCTATCAATAGTGTCAATTTCATCAAATATTTGCATAGGTGATCCTTCCGCTTCCGGATCAATCAATAACGCGTCAAATTCCTTTCCAACTATAAAATTTCCAATTACATTTTCAAGATTTACAAGCTGAGCACCACCCATAGTTGCAAGGTATGTTAGTTCCGGAAGTGTGAGGTGTGGATAAACTTTATCACTTGTCTTTGATGAAAGATAAACTACTCGACTAGCAACATTAGCATTTCGTATAGAATCTAAAATCGATTTAGATCTGCAAAAAAATTTCGAATAACAATTTACTAGTATATCGTAAAAGTATAAAAGAAGTTAGTAACTCCT